ATATATAATTTTAAGAGAATCAAAAATAACAGTCATGCCTTTAATGTTGATCTTTTCCATGCATCTGATATTACTAAGAAATGAAATCATCCCACGCATTTAGTGCAATATAATAAAGAATCACAAACTAACTTTCGCAAACATTATTAAACAAATAAAAACTTTCTTTACTTCTTGATTTCCAGAGAATGCATGTTGTATTGGCTCTCTGTGAAGTACTTCTCAGGGTGAGACTTAGCATCAATTAAAACATTGTTTTTGTACCTGAAAAGTTATGGAAACAGAACAGAATTAAATTAAACCTGGGTTTAATGATTATTTCTATCCAGTACTGCTGGAATTGAAGTGTTTCTGACCAGGCCACGCGGGGTTTGGGCCATCCAGCCACCGTGCAGTGCAGCGTCACACTCTTCCCCTCCCACACGGTCTGGCCACGTGGTTTCAGAATGAACTCCGGGGGGTGAGTCAAACTGTCTGGATTCATCTTCTTTTGGAATTCTACTTTCTCATGCACCTTGTGTAAAAAACAACATAAATTAGGACTAAGATAAAACAATCATACAAATACTGACACTGCTGGTATAGTTAGTCTGACTAACTTCTTCTACAATAAGCCTCAATATACAGTTTCGGGATACAAAAAGTTGCATCAAACTTTTTTAACAGTTAAAGGCACAATGTTTTATATAAGCATCTCGTTAAACATTTTAGGTCAAACCTTCCTGCTCAGAGCCATGCGCTCAGCAGACTCTCTCAAACTGGTCTCTCTGGACTTCTTCACAGTTCTCATCTTGAAGTCGGTCTCCCTGGAGAACAGATTCCTCATGACGACATACCCCATACCCTCCTCCTTCACCTCCTCCTGAGTCTCCATCAGATCCTGGGTAGCCAAATGACTAATGGAAAAGATTAAGTTAATGAGCAGCCTGACCCAATACTGACTAATACTGTTTGACATATGAGATCCATATTAGTCAGCAAAGGGACGTAAGATCAACTCCTGACTTAACTTTAAAAAAAAAAAAAAGGTCTAATGAGTTTCATAGACATGAAGGATAGACGATGCCAGAATTTTCAGTCAGGTATAATATAGTCAACTGAAACTAAAAAATTATTTTAAAAAACAAAAAAAAACACAAAATTATTAAAACTTGCAAACCATGCAATCACCTGCTTCTGAAGACTGGCACGACGTATCCAATGATCTCGTCTTCTTTGTCCACAGCCAGGTACGAGCGCTTTTCTTTCTTAGAAAGAGTGCTCAGTTTCTTCTCCTTCTTTGAGATCTTGTGCCTAAATGACAGTGAACATCAACAACACCAATAAACACACAGTTGGATTATATGGCAAAATGCATCAAAGATTTTGTATATGGCTGAAAACACTATATTCCATTATAAAATGTCAGTTGCATTTATTTCTTTCCTAAAATCCTCCTAACACTAATGGAACAAAAGGTTCAATATTTCAGCAGGGTTAATGGAATAGGATGGAATAGTCACTTGAAAGTCAGTCTTAGTGTGTTAGTGGAAAGTAAATATTAGCAGAGACATCCACTATATTAAGCATTTATTAAAAAATAAATGAAAAAGCCTGAAATAAGCAGCACTTTAGAAAAAGCAATTAAATCAATATACACTACTCCAGGATATTGTTACTGTGTGTGCGCACATCATCCTTGTTACAATGTTCCTCATTAGCACACCAAAAAATATTCAAAAAAGTAATACTATATTAAAAAAAAATTTATTTTAATGCGCATTTTGTTAATTGCGATCAAGAAAGATCATAACCAGCTGGAAACAAACATTACTTGAAATGTCATGTCCGCCGGAGATAAACCATTTAGTATGCATATGATCCTGACAGTGTTTTAATGATCTCATCATGTAAGCCTCAAGGGTTTATAAGATGATGTCAAAAACAAATACTTTCTAAAACCATTTATTTTGTACCATTCACGAGCCAACAACAAGCCTAAAATCAAATAAAATGGATAAAATTTGATTTGAACAAACTGAGACAGACTAAATCCAGAAGAACTGTTGCAGGGTCTCTAAGATGCTTCAAGAAACCTATACCTGCAAAGCTACAGTACTGTTAAAAGTTTTAGGCACTTGTGTAAAAATGCTGTAAAATGAGGATGCTGTCAAAAATAATGT